TTATTTGCAAATTTAGAAAATTGAAGAAAATGCTCTTTTTCAGTGGGTAGTACTCCTAAAGTTTGCGTCAGATTGTTGGTAATAAATGACCGTTGACTTCCAGAGTCAAAGAAGACTGTGGCACATATCGGTTTTCTGTGACCTAGAGCCGAAATCTCAACTTCTGCACAAAGTAGCAAAACTGTAGTTGCATTTCTATGGTTACAATTTATGTTCTCTCTGATGACTGTTTTATTACTGATTACAGCCTATTCTGATTGTTGGTCTGTATCATTCGCCGACGGTACGACTGACTGGAATCGAAACTGACACTGTTCGTTTAATGCCATTGTTGATCGCTTCGTTCGCTTGTTGCACAACGCTGAGTTGTGAGATCCACCGCAGTAAAAACATTTTCGATTCGCTACGCACATTCGAGATTGATGACCACTTTTCAGACATTTAAAACATAATTGAATTTCCCTGACTTTGGCTAGTCTTGATTCGGTGTCACGAATTTGCTGACACGGATCGCTCCAGTGGGCTTTGTCACAAAATACACATCGTAACGTACTAACTTTCCTTTCCTTATTGTAATGTCTGTTGTCTGTAATTGCAAAGGCAGATGTCGATTTTGGGGTAGCTTGTCGAGCATTCTTAATCGTGTCAGATTCTCTGTTAATTTTCCCACCGAGTACTAGATTTACTTGCTCTCTTCTTTTGACAATTTCTTGGATTAACTCACGCATCCTTTTAACTGTCCAAGGATTTTCTTTGTGTTTCCTTTCACACAACTTCATACAACTCCACCTCGGCAGCTTTTCTTCTATCGTAATTTCCATTTGCGGATACTTTAAGTTCTTACCGCAGTTATCTAGCTGCCGTAATATTTTTTCTAAATTTTCCAGTGTCCCACGGATGCTTCCCGATTAGTCTATTGAAGACAGCTTTTTTAAGTCGGCGTACAACTGCCTTTTGATTGCCATTTCATCGCTAAATCGATCTTTCAGAACATTGAGGGCAATGCAGTAATTTTCTGATGTTACTGCATAACCAGCAACAGTAGCATATGCTCGGCCTTTCAGGCAAGTCAGCAAATAACTCAGCTTTTGAATGTCTGGAATAGGTTGACTGTCGACCGCCGCTTGAAAATTGGCGCAGAACTCCGGCTATTGCAGAGAATCATCATAG